AAATACAATTTTTACAATTTTCAGAAAAGCTTCTTTTACCAGTGTATCCAGTTAAAGTGACATCTGAGAATACATTCCTTTTGCCCTAAACTTAAAAATCATCGTTATTTTTCTCAATCTTTTATCATTTCCATTACAATACTGTTCCATCCACTTTTAGAGATAGGTATGTTTTTCTAAGAGCAAACGAAGAATCATAAGGGTTTTTATCATTTTGTTTAAGAATCTTTAGCATCTTACCTCGGATACTTGTCTTGGTGCTTGACAATTTTCTTGTTCGGTATACAGACTGTCAAGAAGTTTCTTGTTTGTGCATCGCAATTCTGCCATCTCTGTTGACGAACGATTGCTTCCTTCTTTCAATGCAGCCATTTGTTGTCTCAAATTAACCAGCTCCTCGTTCAGCATAATCATGCGATCCTTCTCTCGCATTCTTCTTCTCTTGTTTCGCGATATACTTGTATCAGACATTTCCGCAAGTTTCGTAAGTAGTGTTCAATATTGAACCATAAATACTTTGATTTAAGGAATGCCAGTGGCGCATTTATAGGGGTTTACGCCTATTGTGACGTCAGATTGATGAGACATGAAATCGAGTTTCTTTCGTCACAGTGTAGTTTTGATGCATCAGCAAAACCGAGGCATTGCCAGTATGGCTTTATTTTGCTGATTTGTTTTCCGACCTTTCTATCTCTTGAACTCTTTCCTTCTTGTAAATTTTTGTTGAGCACTTCTTGGCTTTTAGATTTATCTCAATAGTGTCAGCAAACTCAAAAGTTTTACTATTATTGGGTTCAAACTTTGACCATTCCTTGTTGCTAACTAAAAAAGCTAGATTAAATGGAAATAAATTCATTTTTCCTTTTATATCCAGCTCTCTAAGTAAACGAACCTCTCTCCTTTATATCATCAAGCTTTTAATCCAACTTAAATGCTATTTGAGATCAACACTAGAGATTCTTATCAGTGAGAGGCGACCTAATCTATCCCGTCATCTTGTTCGTAACTTGCTCACTGTATTTTTAACCAACACTAAAAAATATGCTTTTCAAATA